TAAAATAGTTTTATTTCTACCTTTAGTTATTTACTAGTAGTAGTATTAAATTATAACACCTACCGGTAGCTTCTTACTAACTATTCTAATATTTGTACCCCTTCTTTGCTCGATCTTCTCTACCACCTTTACTGCCATCTCTAGCCTAGGCCCCACCTCTACAACCCTTATATTAGAGACACTAATCATATTTTGACTTATTGTTATGTTATATATACGTATAACCTAGAGCTAATATCCTTCTACCCTTTGTAGTTATAGATAGCGTAGAATATAAATCAAATAAAACTACTTTGTATACTTAAACATAAACTCCTTCTATAATAGTAAACTAACTACTACTTTAGACATGTAGAGAGGTATAAATCTAGGTCATTTACATCGATACTGTAAGCCCCTAGCACACCATTCTACTGTAAACAATTTTGTACCGTATACGGTACAAAATTGTTTACAGTAGCCATATTTATCTAAAGTAGACCAAGAAGTGGTTTAGGTAGAAGAAGTAAACCTAAATAGGGTTTATTATACCATGTATTCTACAAAAGTAAACTACTTTTATTTCTACTTCTATTAATCTACTAGTATTAGTAATAACTAGTTTCCTACTAACTATTTAAGTATTTTACCCCTCCTTTCTTTAATCTTCTTTACCACCTCTATCACCACCTCTACCACCTCTACCACCTCCACTACCTCCACTACCTCCACCACCTCCACCACCTCCACCACCTCCACCACCTCTACCACCACCTCTATCACCACCTCTATCACGACCTCTATCACCACCTCTACCACCACCTCTATCACCACCTCTATCAGCACCACCTCTATCACCACCTCTATCACCACCTCTACCACCACCTCTATCACCACCTCTATCACCACCTCTATTATTACCACCTCCTATTAGTAAAAATATCATGACTCATTATTATGTCATATGTGCGTATAGCGTGAAGCTAATCTTTTCTACCCCTTTTAGTTCTAGTTAGGTATTATAGCGTATAATAGATATAAAACTACTTTTTATACTTAATTTAAACCACCTATAATAAAGTAAACCACCACTTTAAACCTATTTACGGGTATACACGAGGTCAGTTTACACCTATATAGTAAACCCCTAGCGTACCATTCTACAGTAAACAATTTTTTACCGTAGTGGTAGTGTACCACCACATGTCAAATCGTCGAATCAGAAGCCGCGTCAGCTTCGTGCAGGATTCCTAACGAGCCAAAAGATAGTCAAGCAACTGATTAGCCTACCGTCTCTGGTTGGATTCTGTCAGCCATGTGGCGTTGAGCAAATCTTACCTCTGGCGCCTAGGTACATAGTCATGCGGAGCTAGCGTCCATCCCTCATGAATACGAACTGACCGCAGCTATCATCCGACAAGCAATTACCGTCACAAGACCTTTACTCTTGTTGGAACTCAATGACAATGCGAAGTTGTCACAGCCTTGCACCAGTCATCAGTCATTTCGAGCGCGTCAATATGACGCACGTGGAAGCAAACAATCAAGCCCTGTTGCCAGCCGATACCGGCGAGTACTTGGCCACCTTGCAAGACATATACCGCAATGACACCAAAAGAAAGTGATTCCATTCCTGGATCGATCGTATCAGCAACTTTCCAACAGGCTGGAAGAACAGCGGATACCTGGCCGCCCTGGCGGGCGCAACTCGACAGCATCAAGTCTTAGCTGAATACGGTACCTCAGTGGACCCTCCCCTACACGACGTGTATCTGGTTGGGTGTGCGCCTGTTTTCGGGCCATTCTCCTTCAGACATTGGTCTCTCCATTCCCAAGGCACGTTTTACGACCTCGTAGTCACAGGAAACGTCCCTCGCTTGCGGCTCGAAACCTTTACAATGGAAAGATCGAAAGCCGAACTCGATTTTTTCAAATAGCAGATCCAACTTGACAACGGCCATCGTTTGAACGCGAGAGAGAACTCCGATAGATCCAATAGATGTGTGGCAATGACTGCATATAACATTGGGCAGACTCAATTCGATGTGACACAAATGACGCGCTTGGCGGAGTCTGTTTTCGAAGAAATCACACATTACATGAAGTATAAGAAGAATTGCCACTTCTTCGCATTATCACTTTCGGACAGAGTAGTGATGACTAGGCGTGTCATCACGGTTTTCGTTGGGACTTAGGCTCAGATCGCGCATTGGGATATGTTGGCTGCACTTGGTCAGCAAACATCGCCCTATAGCCTAGAGGAAGGATTCCTATTAACAGACCCAAGCCATGGTAAGTCTAGCTGTATCAATTACGGCAAGACATTAGCTAATGCGTATTTTGGTATCTAGATTTACCAAACCGCCCGAGCCGTCACATCTTCAATCCTAGAATTAGGGGCGAATGCTCAGCGCATGCAGCCAATGCTTCGGCGATCAGAAAGCTGTTCCTAAACGGCCCATACTCCATCAGAAGTTATGACCCGGATGGCCAACATATGTTGAAGATTCTTGGGGTTTACGTGTCTGCCTCTACCTCAAAGCGCGTGAAGGACAATAGGAAGAACATAGTCGGATCGATAAAGGAATTTTCACAGGACGTTATAGATGCGAAATAGGCTGATGTCTTCCGTGGACGGCGTGCATCGAATCTACGACAATACGAGTCGATGGTCATCAATGCGAGAAAGGGTGATCGGATTGCGCAATTCTCTCTACCGTTAAATAGAAGAGTTATGTCAATCAGCAAGGAAGACGCTAGAGAGATACTGATCGAGCTTGGAAATACGAAAACTGGTATATAGAACTGTGAAGAGGATATCATCAGCGACGATTGTACAAGACAGTCATTAGAAGATGTATCTGAATACTCTAAGTGCGATCAAAAAGCAGACCCGACATTAGCATAC